GGTTCCCCAAGCCCCCCCCCCCCCCCCCCCCCAGCTTGAGCCGCTTTACACCGATGTGGAAGGTCTGCAGATACTGTGAGGTTCTGGGGCAGCGCCTGCACCTGCCGGGCTCCCCCCCCCTCTGGAAGCTGGGCTGTGTGGAGCAGCCCCACAACTTTTAAACGGGGGGCCCCCTATCCCAGCCACCGATGCAGCCTGAGAGATTTGTCTTTCCCTGTCCTGAAAAGGATTCTGCAAGAAACATCCCCACTTAAGATATACCTGGTTGTAAAAGAAGGAAGGAAGCTGAGAGCAGTGGGGAAAGTGGGGGGGGGGATGGGAAGAAGAAGAAGAGGAGGAGGAGATTGGATTTATACCCCCCTTCACTACCCGAAGGAGTCTCAGAGCAGCTTACACTCTCCTTTCCCTTCCTCTCTCCACAACAGACACCCTGTGAGGTACGTGGAGCTGAGAGAGCTCTTTGAGAACTGCTCTTGAAAGAACAGCTCTGAAATCACTTGTGACTGATCCAAGGTCACACCAGCAGCTGCATGTGGAGAGGTGGGGAATCAACCTGGTTCTCCCAGATTAGAGTCCACGCCCCTAACCACTGCACCAAACAAGAGGAGTCTACTGGATCTGGAGGGAGAGCTTGTTCCAGGCTAAGGGGAAGAAGACAGGACAGGTGTCAGAGCTGGGCAAAGGAAGCCAGAGAGGCTGAAAGGAGAGTGACGGGGAAGACCTTCCCTTGGAGGAGGGAACTTTGCCCCATTCACCTTCTCCTCCTCCTTTAAAGGGAAGCTATCAAAATCCTCCCTCCCCCAAACAATTAAACCCCCCAGGAGCCGGTCCAGACAAAAGCTCCTTGGTGCCCTGGCATTCACAGGGTGGCTGCGAGTCATGGCAGGGACAAGCAACACACGCCCAGGCCCCCATGGCACCGAAGATGCAGAAGGCCACCGAAAGGAGAGACGGAGCCTTGAGGTGGCCCTGCAGAGGGCAGGAGAAATGGCTTTGGACCCAGAGTCAGGGGAGGCGGGTGATACCGGCCCACACAGGCCTGGGAGGGGGGTGAGCTGGGGCTTCCAGGTAATTTCCGGAGAAAGGGCTGTCCTTCATTTTTCAGTGCTTTGGGTGTGTAAAGGTCACCGCCCAGCATGTACAGAGTGCTCCTGTCTCTCCACTCACCACAACTGGCTCTTGTAATCTGACGTTCATTGCAAAGTAGTTCCAAGCCTTGTTGGTCTGAAGTAGTAGAATAACTTTAGAGTCCAGCGGCACCTTTAAGACCAACAATGGTTTAGTCAAGGTATAAACTTTCGTGTGCTCGTACCTTGAATAAACCTTTGTTGGTCTTAAAGGTACCACTGGACTCTAAAGTTGTTCTATTAATTGCAAGGATTCACGTCCTGGGGTAGTCTCAGCGTATTTCAAGTGAGCTGAGAGAGGGTGACTGGGCCATGGTCGCCCAGGGAGCTTTAATGGCAGAGTGGGAATTCGAACCCAAGTCTCCCCACTCTTAATCCAACACTCTAACCACTGCACTATGTGACACTGGCTCTCGAATATTTCCCTCTCCTTGTTTCATTGCATGCAGGGTGGGGCCAGGGTCCAACATACCTGAGGGACTGCCTTTCCCCACATATACCCCGGAGAGCACTGCGGCCGGGGTCAGGGAACCGATTGACCCTCCCGGCCCCCAAGGATGCCAGGCTCTCTATGACCAGGGCCAGGGCCTTTTCAGTGGTGGCTCCTTACCGGTGGGATGAGCTCCGGGAAGAGATCAGGGCTCTGCGGGATCTTTTACAGTTCCACAGGGCCTGCAAGATGGAGCTCTTCCACCAGGCTTTCAACTAAGGAGCCGCCCTCACTATTGCCATCAAGGAGCCCGGCCCCAGCCTTAACATCTGGCATATACCATTGAGCAACTCAGGAAGACCACTGAGCTGGAACTGTCGACTTGTAAACATCCTTAGTACACCATCACAAGTAATGAACTGAACGATCACTAGGACCTTATGATTTTATGAGTTTCATCCGTATTGCTTTGTTTTAAAATGATTTTATTTGGTTTTATTGGTATTTTGTGCCAATGTTGTAAGCCGCCCTGAGCCTTCTCACGGGGAGGGTGGAGTACAAATTGAATAAATAAATAAATCTATAAAAAACCATTTTCCTGGTTGCAAACCCTCCGTGCAAATCCTCCTCTCCAGAGCTCTGGCAGAATAGGGTCTGGATGAAGGGAGCTATGCCTCCCCCTCCCCCCTGATTTCCTAATGGTTCATGCTGCCCCAGGGATCTGGAACCAGAGGAAGGTCTGTGCTTGCCTTTCGAGGTAGCAAGCTGGCTCGTCAAAATACGACAGCTTGGGTTGGGCTCTGCATCTGCCCACCCACCCGCTGACGACTTCTCCTCCCACTCTGCGAGAACCCACGTGCAGCACGGCTGGCAGGTATGAGGGGCACCAGAATCTGCCCTCCCTGGCACAGGATGAGAGAGGAGGACAAAGGACTCTTCCATGCCCCATGGCCGGGGAGGGGAAGGAGGGCTGTGCAGAGGCTGGTGCAGTTCCAGAGTTCTGCCTCCGCAATCTGCAATCTGTGCCGCCTTAGGAGAGGTCCTGGCAGTGGCACAGTGGCCCTTTTCAGCTGGCACACTTCACCTTAAAATGTTGTTACCAATGTTCCGTCTAAGCTGTCGAGTCTTTTGAGCAAAAATTCTACTTTGTGAGCTACTGGCATTAAAGTTGTGAGCCAGTGATTTGGATACTGCATAAATTAGTTTGCTCTGGAGCCATCCTTCCTGAGTGAAGACAAAAATGTGTGAGCCAGGGGCTAAAAAACTGTGGGCTGGCTCACACTAGCTCAGCTTAGAGGGAACACTGGTTGTTACCCATGTTTGTGGGACTGTTTTTGATTTTCGCAGTAGCCGGTGCAGTAGCCTGAACAGCTCTGACTGACCCTCTCACTCGTCAGTGCTTGGAAGCTAAGCAGGGGCTTCTCAGGGGTCATGTTTGAATGGGTGACCATCAAGGAAGACAGAGGTTGCGATGCAGAGGAAGGCAGCAGCCCACCACCTCTGCTCATCTCTGACCCTGAAAACCCCATAGCCCTTGGACTGACAGGAGTCGGCTGCAATTTGATGACTCGGGATTATTTTATCTGAAGGGTGGCTTTCACACTCTGCCTGGGGGGCACCTTGTAGGATATTGTATATATATTTTTACCCAGTTTGGTGTAGTGGTTAAGTGTGTGGACTCTAATCTGGGAGAACCGGGTTAGATTCTCCACTCCTCCACTTGCACCTGCTGGATGACCTTGGGCAAGCCATAGTTCTGACAAGAGCTGTGCTTGAAAAAGAGCAGTTTCTGTCAGAGCCCTCTCAGCCCCACCTACCTCACAGGGTGTCTGTTGTGGGGAGGGGAAGGGAAAGGAGTTTGTAAGCTGCTCTGAGACTCCTTTGGGTAGTGAAGGGCGGGGTATAAATCCAATCTCCTCCTCCTCCTCCTCTTCTTCTTCCTACCCACCCCTTCCTCCAAGAAGGTCAGGGTGGCATACAGGGTGTCCCACCCCCTCCTATATTATCCTCCTGGTATCCCCTGAAAGTTGGCTTAAATTAATCTATCAAATGACTTTGAGTCAGTAGCTGTTTTATGCGCATTGTGGCCAAGCAGGACTTTGGACCCAGGTCTATATTCTCTTGCATGCTCTTGCACTGTAGAATGCACAATTATGAAAAAGCATGTTTGGTATTTTTAAAGTGGGTTTGAAATGGCTGTGCATGGCAGGTGGCATCCAGTTGGCTGGTGCTCTCCGTGGCGTGTGCCCCGTTTGGGAGCGTGGTGGTGCCTCCGAACACAGAGGAGGGAACATTTGGCCCTTCCGTCTCCCTTTGGCTCCCTCCCCTGGTTTCGAAAGAGAGGCTGGGAAGGAAGCTGGCCAGCTGGGCCCTTTAAGGGGACTGGATTTGGCCTCCAGGATGCGAGTTGCTGACCTCAAATCTGGAATGGAAATAAGGGCGTGGAGCTCAAACCTCCAAGGTTTAATGGGCATGGTTTTATGGTTGTTCCCTGAGGCTGGGGGATCCCTAGCTCAGAATTCTCAACCCTGCTTCTGAAATACCAGGAGCTCTTTGGGGAGGGGGAGCTCTTTTCGAGGACCCGCTATGATGAAGTCAGGCCCTACTCTATGCAAGCTGATACTAGAATAAAACGTTTGCTGGTCTTGAAGAAGCAGTGAGACTCCTATTTATATTAGCGATGACAGGCAAAGGTGACTGCCCCCTCTGGGAAGGGAAGTCACACCGGCAATGAAGAAGCAACAGGCTTGCAGTCTTTGCTTGGTCTTTCTTCCTCGGTGGTTGTGCTCTGTCCCATTCCACCCCACCTGTCACAATGAGACTGGTTTGCAATCCCCCCCCCCCCCCCCGCGTCGTCGTAGATCGGACGTTTTGGTTGGTTGGAAGTGTTCGCTTTGGTTCAAAACAGCCAACGATGGGGGGGGGGGCATTTCCACATCTAGGGGCACGGAAGCAAGTGCCAGGGCATGCATAAACCCCCAGACTAGAGGCAGGTGGGAAGACCAGTGTGACGCAGTGGTTACACTGTCGAATTAGGATCTGGGAGACCCAGGTTCGAATCCCCACTCTGCTATGAAAACTCGCTGGGTGACGTTGGACATGCCATTATCTTTCTGCCTAACCTACCTCGCAGAGCTGTTGTAAGCAGGGCCTTTTAAAAAAAAAAGAGGTGCTGGAACTCAGAAGAGGGAAATGAAGTTTTCATTCTGTATACTGAAAACCCATGAATGCTAAACATTTCAAAAAGAATTTTGTTGAAGAGGTT